GCACTTTGCTGACTGAGCCGTCTCCTCAGCCCCAAAGTTCAGAACTGCTTTTTATGAAGCACTTTCTCTGTGTGAGAAACGCATGGATCCCACTCACAGTGACCTTCCCACTCACAGTGACCTTCTTAGCTCAACTGGCATAGCAGCCCTTGCGACATAATGGCAACCACCACCTCACACAGGGAGGACAGACTTGCAAAGGTGAAATGGCAGAGGAGGTGTGAAATGGGAACTCTCTTGGGCTTTATGTGCCCTGCTCCTGCCAGAGTGGCCTAATCCAAACCCTGTCTGCCAGATGGGTCCCCCACCCACCGCTGAACTCCAAAGATGAGTTGTGGTGTTTGTGCCAATTTGTATAGGAAGAGAGGGACACAGAGGCAAACGACATGTCCACTGGCTCAGAGGATACTCCAGGGCCAGACTCTTGGGCTGCTGATTCAGTCACCTCTGCAGCTCTTGCCCAGCTGTCCTGCTCTGAGGCAGGCTCTGAAGGTCACACCTCAGGTTCTGCTGCCGGTGAAATGTCTCTGAGGTCTGTGTCCCAAGGCCACATCGGTCATGTTTGATTCTGTGTACCCCAGCAGTTCTGACTGATGGGTCTAAGAGGCGGGCACTGTCCACAGTGGGCAGTGGCAGTGCTCAGACTTGGATTCTAGGGACTCCAGGGTTGTGTGGAAAGCACTGGACTGCATCCTGGAGACAAGGACTGGGTTCTTGCATAGTCTAGGAGAGAGATGAGATGGAGTCAAGTGAAGGAGTGCTCTCTCTTGCAGACCTCAGAGCCTTTTAATATTCATATTGCACAAGCCTCAATATCCACCCAAGCACAAGCTCCCTGTTAAAGAACTGCTGTCCTCACAAGATTATTAAAGGTTGTTCTAGTTTCTCTGACAGGTCCCATCATGCCTGAGTCCCAAGGTTCTTACAATGGGACAGGTTAACCCTCAAGGCTTTATCTAGAAGGCAGTGCTCCTGAAGAATGCCAGAGCTAGGAGGGTATTGCAGAGATGGAGAAACAGGTCCAAAGTGTTTGGAGAGAGAGGCTGGAAGCAGACCTGACATATGGTCCTGGTACTAGGCCACAGTCAATCTACAGATGGAGAACAATTAAATCACCACATTCCCACATAATTTTGCTCCTGATGTTGGATCCCTGACTTAAAAACCTCCAGAAAGTCTCAGGAATTCCTGGTCACCATGCTCCCATGAAACCAGATCATTAGTTAAACTTGGGAGACATTGTTTCTAGAAGGGAAAGGTCATAGTATATCTTGAAGGTAAGGGGCTTGTGTTTTATGTGTCATATTTTAGCTTTATAATTTCATTCTCATAGTGTTCTGAACAATAGAGATTAGCGTCCCATTGCACAGGTGGGGAAACTGAGGTTAGCATAGTCTGGAACTTGGCAGTGAACAGCTCTGAAGTCTATCAGGGCTTTGTGGGAAGATACAATGGACCAGGACTTCTGGGGCCTTCTAAGGCTTTGGGTGGCTAGTGAGGAGGGAAATACTTTTGATTTTCCTGACTTTGGAATTTGGGTTTCCAGGAGTATGATAGACTCAGAGAGGAAACCTGGTGGGCAGAGAGACGACTCAGTAGGCAAAGTACTTGCTATGTTATCATGAGGATCTGAGTTCAGATCCCCAGTACTCACACAAAAACCTAGGCTTGCTGGCATGGGTCAGATCTGATCTACACATGCATACGCAGGCAAGCATATCTGTATATACACACACACACACACAATACCTGGGTCCTTGCAACATAATAGCATCACCATCTCATACGGAGAGGGGCGGTGGGCAGGGGATGGACTTGCAAAGGACTGAAGAGATGGTTCAGTAGTAAGAACCGCGTGCAGTTCTTGTAGAAGACCTGAATTCCCATGTCTCCCAACAGCCAGTTCCATGGGATCTGACATCTCTGGTCCTCACGGGAACTGTACTCAAGTGTACATACCCATGCAAACACAATTTAAAATAAATAGTTTAAAAACAAAACAAACAAACCCCAAACAGATTAAGTAGGTTCTCTACAGTGTCCACATTTAAATAACCAGAAATGGTAGGTCAGGTCGATGGCAACTGGGATTTAACACTGTACAAGTCAGGTGTGGTGGTACATTCCTTTAGTCCCAGGAAGCTGGGTCCAGGAGCTTTAGGCTCTAGGCTGTAGTGTGCTATGCTGAATAGATGCTTGCACTGTTTGACATCAATATGGTGACCTCCCAGGAGCAGGGACCATGAAGTTGCCAAAGAGTTGGGAGCCAACCCAGGCTGAAAATGGAGCAAGTCAAACCCCAGAGCTGATCACTAATGGGGGCACCCGAGAATAGTCACTGCATGCCAGCATGGGCCAGCGTGTCATGTAGAATGAAGATTACTCATCGGCTAACTTTGATGTAGTGTGATCTGAGTGTGCCTAGTGTGCCCACAAGAGTCCTTAAAGGTAGACCACAGCGGGCGGCAGGTGGAGGTCAGAGCAAAGCTATACAAGGACTTGAGCTGACACTGTAATCCTTAAAGGCAAAAGGCTGCTCTGGGGAGTCTAGAGCAGGAGTGGGGTATGAGGACAGAGGATGGAGGACATCACTCCAAATGGTATTAAAAGAAAAAAAACCGAATGAAAACAAACAGAAGCTGGTCAAGGTGAGCATGGTGCTAGGTGCTTCTGGTCAAGGTGAGCATGGTGCTAGGTGCTTCTGGTCAAGGTGAGCATAGTGCTAGGTGCTTCTGGTCAAGGTGAGCATGGTGCTAAGTGCTTCTGGTCAAGATGAGCATGGTGCTAGGTGCTTCTGGTCAAGGTGAGCATGGTGCTAGGTGCTTCTGGTCAAGGTGAGCATGGTGCTAGGTGCTTGTAATCTTAGGACTTGGGATATGGAGTCAAGAGAATCAGAAGTTCAGTGGCCAGCCCTGGCTACACAGCAAGGTCAAGGCCAGTCTGGGCTTCATAAGATTTGGTTTTAGTACATCAAGAAGGAGGAGGAAGAGAAGGAGGAGGAGGAAGAGGAAAGAGAGAAAGAAAGAAAGAAAGAAAGAAAGAAAGAAAGGAAGGAAGGAAGGAAGGAAGGAAGGAAGGAAGGAAGGAAGGAAGGAAGGAGGAAAAGTCTTCAGGACAGCTTATAGTGAGGAATGCAGCCCTGTCTACATTTAGCTTTTAGCCTGGGAATATTTATTTATACCTGGCTGTACCCCTCTCTTTTCTCTGCACATAAACATATAAATTAGCAAAGTAACAACAGGATCGAGGATGCAGGCTCAGTAGATGCTTGCCCAGCATGCTGAGGTCCTGGTTCAACTCCCAGCACTGAAATAAAAGAACAGCTCATGTTGACCTTCTAATGTGTTGAACGACTAAATGTATTTTGTTGTAAGCCACTGTGAGTGTGGGCATTTCCTATAGCAGCCATAAACAATACTCAGGAGGCTGGACCAGATTCTAGGTGGTATGATCTTGTAAAGTCTATTTGATTTTCCTGCATTCCTAAAATCCCTGATACCTCCAAGGCTCCTGTGCCTTTGCATCCTATTGAGTACTGGGGGAATACCTAGCTGGGCACTGGAAGCTGTGGAGAGCTCCAGAAGAAAACAAGGAAAGATTAAAGACTAGGGCATTCATCCAGGGATTGGGGGAGTGACTGAAGGTTACCAAGTCACACCTACATAATGAAGCTTTGTGGGCAAACCTACAAGGATGGCACACTACAGGGTACCTGTGCACTTATCTGTGAACACAAAGACCTTGTGCCTCCTAACTGGTGGCAGAGTGGGTGGCAGGGGGTCGGGGTGGGGGGAGGCAAGCCAGAGCCAGGTTTGCTTTGTTTTTGTTTTGTTGCTATTGCTCTTCACTTGAGATTAGAGTCTCACGTAGCCAAGGCTGGCTTCAGCTCTCTATGGAGTCAAAGATGATCTTAAATCCTGGAATCTCCTGCTTCTATCTCCCCAGGGCTTGGATTACAGGCTTTTGCCATCATAACTATTTTATATGATCCTGGAGGTGAACCCAGGGTCTTTTGCATGCTAAGTGGAAACTCTACCAACTGAGCCACAGTCCCCCCTTTTTTTCTTTTCCTTTTCCCTTCCTTCCTTCCTTCCTTCCTTCCTTCCTTCCTTCCTTCCTTCTTCCCTCCCTCCCTTCATTCCCTCCCTCCCTTCTTTCCTTCTTTCCTTCCTTTCTCCTCCTCTTCTTCTTCTTCTTCTTTTTTTTTTTTTTTTGAGACAGATCTCACAATGTAGCCCTGGCTGTCCTGAAACTCACTGTGTAGAACAGGCTGGCCCCAAACTCACATATATCTATCTGCTTCTGCCTCCTGAGTGCTGGGACTACAGGCTTGCACCACCATGTCTGCAAACTTGTTTTTGCAAGTCACTATAATGGCCAGGGCAGATCCTTGGGGTTTGATCTCATCCTGTTAGACCTTTTCCCAACACTGTTGCTTTGAGATGAAGTTTCCCAAGGAACCTCAGCTAGCACATTCAGACCACAGCAGTGGCCTCAATACAGGTTTCTTTATTTCCTGGCCTCAGCTTCCCACTCTGTGAAACAGAATCCTGTGACACCTGCCTCCTGAGTGGCATGACAGTGGTGTGGAAGGAGCAAGTTGTGAGGCTGAGGGGGCTTGTTGGGGTCATTAATGTGTCCTGTGGGGCTTAGCAGACCTGTTACAGCTGGATCTGGAGGGGAAATCCAGCCCAGATACCCTGGTGACAAAGATGAGACCATTGGAAGAGAAAGGGCTGGATGCTGGAGAGATGGCTCAGATGCTAACAGTACTGTTGCTCTTGCAGAAGACCTGGGTTTGGTTCCCAGCAACTTCTGTATTAGTCAGCGTTCTCTAGAGGCACAGAACTTATGGGTAGCCTCTATATAGTAGGGGAATTTGTTGATGACTTACAGTCTGTAGTCCAACTCCCCAACAATGGTCAGCAGCATTGGAATGGAAATCCAAGGATCTTGCAGGTGCTCACTCTCACAAGGCAAGCAGGTGAAACATGGTGGCTCACAATCCATCCTGGAACTAGTTCCAAGGGACCAGATGCTGTCCTACTTCTGTGATGGTCCCATCTGTCTCCTCCTGACAGGTAAGATGCTCCAAACGCTCCAGGCTGTAGCCTGTGTCTGCATTCCTGTCAGGAAGAATACCTTTAGCTCAGGGGTGAGACCAGCCTGGGAAACTCAGCAAGACACTGCCTTAGAGAGCAAAAGAAAATGAAGATGTGCTTTGCATTTTGGAAAGATGGTGCCCAAAAGTAAGACATGCCATGTCCTTTAGAGTCAGCCTCAGAGAAGGGGTCACCTCAGGAACTGGGAGCCTCTAAACAGGACAGGTGGTGTTTGGAAGTGGGTTTCTCTGTAGGGCAGGGAGTGGGCCCAGGTATGAATTGGAAACCTTGAACAGGCTATTCCATCTACCTGAGCCTCAGTTTCCTCCTGATCAAAATAAGACTTTTATGGAATCAAATAAGATTAAGAAACTAGGCATAATGCATGCTTCCAATCCTAGCACTCGGGAGTGAGACGTAGGGGAATTGTAAATTTTAGGCTAGCCTCAGCTATATAGTAAGATCTTAACTGAACAAACAACAGTAGCAAAACAGAGGTGGTATGGTGGTGCACGTCTTTGGTCCCAGGACTTAAGCAGGGACAGACTAGTTCTTGGCTAGCCTGGTCTACATAGTGAGTTCCAGACCAACCAGGGCTATATAGAAAGACCCTGTCTCAAAATTATACTAAAGCAAACAAACAGAAAAGAGGGTGCAAGTAGGGCCTGGGGTGTCTCTCAGTAGTAGAGACCTGACTTAGCGTGTCCTGGGTTTGAGCTCCAACACAACAAACCAAAACACAACACACCTCAGCTCAGCCCTGCAGGTACAGAACAGGATGTGCTCTCTTTTCCTCCTTTCTCTCTTTGCTTCTCTTTTTCTCAGCTCCCACTGTCCGTTTTAGTTCAGAGGAAATCATGTGTTACGTGGTTTGGTGTCTGTGGTGCTGGTGAGGAACCCAAGGTCTTGCCCACTCTACCACTGAGCCACCCTTCATCGGGTCATGACCTCTGAATTGGAAGCTTGAGAGGCTTCTCCAACAAGTCTGTGTGGTCGTGTGTGCCTCTTGGTGAACTCAAGTACCTGAGTGTTGGGCAGTGCCCTGCAGATAAAATCTTGGCTGTGAAAAATTTAAAACTATGTGTGCTTTCTTGTAGTTGAAAAGTATATAGGGGAAGAATGAGACAAAGATATTAAAAGAGGAAAGGCCATCTCAGGCCCTACCTTCAAGATGTTTCCATCTGCCCTTCCTGATGGGTCAGTGCCAAACTGCCCATGAAGGCTGGGTTTGATCTGGGCACCTGCAACCTCAGCTACTCAGAGGGGAGGGTGACTGGAGCTCAGCAGTGTAAGTGTAGTGGTGAATAACTGTCTGCTTTGAGCTCCCTCCCAGCAGGTGATCGTGCTTCTAGCCACCTGCCAGAGCTCTCTGGATTTGCAAATGAAAGACATACACACACATACACACATACACACACATAGAGACACACAGACACAGAGACACACACACACAGACACACAGACACAGAGACACACACACACAGACACACAGACACAGACATATACACACAGACACACAGACACACACAGAGACACACACAGAGACACACAGAGACACACACAGACACACATAGACACACACACACACACACTTCTAAATCCACGGTTTATCTTTGCTACCCTACTTCCTTCTTGGCAGCCCTCCCATGGGGTAGCTCTCAATTTGTCCCTACACTTCAGCCTTCTCACCCTTCTGCTCCTTCACAGCCTGGCCAGTCCTACACCCCTCTCACGGCTGAATCCCTCTTCCTCTCTCCTGGATTTCTTTCCTGCCTCTTTCACCCTGCCTAGTCATTAGCCATTGGTTATTAATTGATTAATCAAAAACCAACTGGGGACAGGGACCCTCAGCTTCTGGATATGCAGATTCCCGTGTGATTTGGGGAGCTGAATTAAGACAAAGCATTAGAACCAATCTCCAACATGTAAGATTAGTCTGGGTAAGACTTGCAAAACCCCATCACTGGAAAAAAAAATAATGAAAGCATGCCCTCAGAAAACATGGCCCTGGAAGGCCATGAGGACATTAACTTTAGTGTCCAGAGTGGCTACATCTAAGCCAGGTCAATGGAATCTCATAATGCTTCCAGTGACTGTTTATGGCTTCTTTCCTGGTGCTAATGGCAGGCTTGGAGGATGTGCCAGATGTGCTCCAGTCTCCCAACCTGGACAGAACAGCAGCCCTTGTTCAGCCCCCTTCAAACTATGTGTGCCTGGCAAGCTCCTCAGCTTCTCAGTGCTTTGACATTCTTATCTGTAAAATGGGTATAACACAATGAGCCCTTATTGGGTAGTGTTGGCTGAGAGTTGTTTCATTGACTCCATAGTCCTTATCATCCTCGTCATCTTGTGCTCTGTGCCTCACCCTGTTCATGTAGGGAACGGGAACCGATACACGAAGCAGCCTGAGTTCCTGCCTCATTCTGGTTCATTATCTTGTGGAGATGTAAGGCCCTTGGAGGAGCCCTACTGAAATATGAAGTATAGGTGTGTGCAAGTTATGTGCTTGCATGTCAGTAACACTTATGTGCACACACACAACACACATACCACATGCACATACACCACACACACACACACACACACACACACCACATATACCACATAGACACTGCACACTCACACACACCACATATACATATGCCACATACCCATCACACACTCACACCACACACACACATACACACACACAGCACACATACCACACAGAAACGCATACCTACACACACCACACATGCAACACAACCACATGTTTGCAGTCCTTCTTTATCCACAATCACTAAATATTTCTTATCAGGCCACTACATCTGTTCCTGTCCACTAGCAATGAAACACATGGTTATACCCAACTTCAAGGGATTCTGGGAAATGTAGTCTCCAAGTGGTAGTTTCCAGACCATCTAAAATCAGGCTATTGAGCCCAGTCGTATCCCTCATACCCCAAAATCTTCTTTTCTGGACACTGGGATTTTCTGAGTCCCCCACCTGCAGGCACACCTCTGGTGACCCCTAGTGACTTCTCAGAAGCTCAGGAAAGCAGAGCATACTGTCCTAAAGGGACTCATCTCTGAACTCTTGGTCTGGTCTTTACCAGTTTCACCCATAAACATTCTGACCTGCCTCCATGGTGGCTCATGAGCTAGTTTGTGTCCCTGGTCACTGTTTTCAGGTGTGATAGATGAAATTTGAGCTCTGGAGTCCCAGCAAGACCATCATCTCCGTGAGCCAACACTCCCTTGTATAGATAGATAGCAAAGCTGACCCTGAAGGATTACTGTAAGGGTCAGACCACCTTTCAAAAGATCTTTTAGTGTCTGGAAATGACAATTCACAAGTGAAGGCTGATCTTGGTGGGTGTGACACCAGTGCACAAGGACTCATGGACACATGCCTTTTGTAAAACAATTGACACAATATGCATACAAAGTGGCATTTAAAAAAATTATTTGTTGTATGTGTTTAGGTGTTCTGTCTGCATGTATGTCTGTGCACCATGTGTGTCTTAGGATTTCCACTACTATGAAGAGACACCATGACCAAAGAAACTCTTATAAAGAAAAACATTTAATTGGGGCTGACTTATAGTTCAGAGGTTTAGTCCATTATCATCATGGTGGGAAGCATGGCAGCATGCAGGCAGACAGGTGCTGGAGGAGCTGAGAGTTCTACATCAGGATCAGCAGCCGCAGGAAGGGAACTGTGACACACTTGCTCCAACAAAGCTACACCTACTCCAGCAAGGCCACACCTCCTGATAGTGCCACTCCCTGTGAGCTGATGAGGGCCATTTTCTTTCAAACAACCACACTGTGCCCACAGTGCCCCCCCCCCCCGCCAGGATATAGTAGGATCTTGTGGAACTGGAGATTGAAGCACTGTAAGTCACCACATGGGATCTGTGAATGGATCCCAGGTTGTCTGCAAGAGTAGCCAGTGTTCTTTGCTCATTTGGTTTTGTGTTTTGTTTGTTTGAGACTGGTTCACTCTGTAGCTGGCCTAGAACTCCCTATGTAGACTGGGCCAGCCTTAAGGCAAACATCCCCTGGCCTCTGCCTCCCAACAACTGGGTACCACCATGCCCAGCCGTAACAAGTGCTCATAACGATGACTCGTCTCTCCAACTCCTGTTGGTTTTCTATCTTTACATAAATAAATTTTATTTTTTTAAAGTAAAAGGTAGAGATGTAAGGAGACTTGGAAGGCTAAAGCAGCAGGCTCGCCATTAGTTAGAGACTAACCTGGACTACACAGCACACAAGCAGAGGCTGCTCAGATGGGTCTGGGGTAAATACTTGATACCAAGCCTTAGCACCTGAGTTTGAGTCTCAGGATCGGCATGGTGGAAGCGTGAATCAGTTCTTGAAAGCTGTTCTCTGACCTCTGACCTCTACTCCCACATACCCACGTACGCTCGCATAAGTAACAGTGTTAAAATCGAAGGAACAAACAACAACAACAATAGAACCTGGTAGGTAAGTGGCATACACTTTAAATCCTAGCACTCAGGAGGCAGACACAAACAGATCTCTGTGACTTACAGGCCAACCTGTTCTACACAGCAAGACTTGCCAGGGCTATGCAGTGAGATCTTGCCTTTAAAAACCAAAATAAAATAAAATCCTGATGCTAACATAAGCATCACACCTTTAAAAAGATTTTGTTGTTGTTGCTTTTGAGAGTCTTATACTCTGTTTCATAGGCTGATGTCAAACTCCTAACCTCAAACAATGCTTCTGCCCTTAGCCTCTCAGAAAGTGGGAACTGTGGGCATTTGCCACTATGCTCAACTCAGAAAAGCAAATGTGTTTGTTCTCGGGCATCTTTGTGGAGTGGGAGATCAGAAGACATCCTTACCTATTGATCCTTGCCTTCTGTCTTGTTTGAGACAGGGTGTCTCTGCTGTTCACTGCTGAGTGTGCTGTGCTAGCCGTCTGCAATTCAGCAAGTCTCCTGACTCCTCCCACCTTCCTACCATAGGGGTACACCAGGATTACAGAGATTCAAATTCCCTTTACACAGACTCTAGGGATCTGAGTTCAGGCTGTCAGGCTTAAGAGGCTAGTCAGCCACCTATCCAGCCTCTAAAAGACTTCAATAGTATCAAAAGATGATGATATTCAAATTCTCCTGTGTATTTGTTTGTTTGTTTTGTTTCATTTATTTGAGACAACATATCATTGTGTATCTCTGGTCTCCTTCTTTTTTCTAAATTGTTTTCCTGGAGCTGGTGAGGTGGCTTAGTGGGTAAGGGCACCTGCTGTCAATCTCCATGGTCTGAGTTTAATCCTTGAGAGGAAGATGGAGGAAGAGAACTGATTCCACAAGCTGTCCTCTGGCCTCCACACACGCTATGCATTTGAAGGCAATATACTAAACAAACCAACAAACAAATATGTCTTAAAAATAAAAGTTGTTCTAGGAATGGTGGCACATGCCTTTAGTCCTTGCACTCGGGAGGCAGAAGCAGGCAGATCTCTTATGAGTTCAAAGCTAGCCTGGTCTACATACCAAATTCCAGGCCAGCCAGAACTACATAAAGAGATTCTGCCTAAAAAAGGAATTCCCTACATAACTTCAAAAGTTGGACGTTTCCCTTCCTAGCCTTATTCATTTGCTAAGCTCTTTGCACATGAAGAACATTAACTAAAGTGAAGTTAACAACTCATTGTTCTTGCTCTAGGGAAAGCGATGGAGGCTTCAGGATCTTCTTCCCAGTCTCAAGACAGCAGTGGAGTCCACAGGGAAACAGAAGATCTACACCGTAGGTTTGCCTCCTCAGACCCTGGGCACAGCCTCCTTCAGGAGAGTCCAGTATGGGAGGGGCCGTCATCAAAGACCTTGCTAGGTCATGTGGCATGGTGGCCACGGTAAAGCTGTAGCAGAGAAGCGATTTTCCATGCACGTGCTTGCTACTGTCTGTTATCCACATTTCATAGTCAGACAGGTCCTCGGCTGCTCCCCAGGTTTCGAGAAGTTTCTGGGTAGCTTGTTCAGGAAGTGGGGAGAATTTCTAGAAGATGGGAAGGGTCTCATGCGCTTGCTGTTGAAGGAAGGGAGAGCTGAGGGCTTGATCATAGGCTGCCTTCTGTACGACTTAGAGAACCCTGAATTGGAACCTGCTTTGAGTTTGAAAGGCTTTGGGTGGGGTAGGATGCAGGGCTTAGAAGCCCCTTTTCTAGAGTCTGTATGCAGAGGAATGTTTGCCTTGGGCTGTCATTGACTCCCCCACCCCTTCCCAAGGGTCTCTGAAAACCTTGGTCTTATACACCTTCCATCAGCCTCAGATTTTCAGGAGAGTAGTCCTCCCTCTTGTCTTGATGAGTGCTTCCTGAAGAGGCTGTACTGGTGCCAGGGATGAGGCAAGGGGCAAGAAAAACTCATCACCTTGCCTGTATGCCTCCAGACAGAGAGAAAGAGTTCCACAAGCAACATGGGAAGGCCCGGGAGCGATATGAAAGAGACAAGTCTTCCTCCTCATCCTCATCCTCCTCTTCCTCCTCTTCCTCCTCCTCAGGTATAGCAAATATTCTTAGGACTGGAATGTGACTTAATGGTACAGTGTCATGAATATAAAGACCCCCGGGTTCCATCCCTAGCAAACACACACACACACACACACGTGCGCTAATAAAAATTAATTTAGTAGCCGGGCAGTGCTTTAATCCCAGCATTTAGGAGGCAGAGACAGGCAGATCTCTGAGTTCAATGCCAGCCTGGTCTATAGAAAAAGCTCCATGACAGCCAGAAACTCTGTCTTGAAAAAACAAAAAATAAGATATAAAAATAAAAAATAAATTTAGGGAACATACAGAATGAATCTAGGAAACATATAGGTCTGAGTTCATAACAACATCGAGGCTGTCACCCAGTGAGTGCTTATGTAAACCAGACACTCTTCCAATTGCTTTGTACTTAAGAACTCAACCAATTGTCACAGGACCCCACTGCAGAAGATGTAGTACTGTTAGTCTCACGAGAAGCTATGTTGCCTGCATTAAGAAGGGAGGCTCGGTAACAAACTTGAGAGTTCTTGAAGGTCTTTCTGGGACTGGAGAGTGTATAGGAGCGGCCTCTCTGCCTGTATGAGAGCTTCAGCACTGTGGCCTAGTTTACATGGTGGGCTTGAGCTTACAATTTTATTTGCTGAAAGATTCCTAGGCTTAGGCTGGGGCTTTGTTGGTACTTGTTTAGCAGAGCCCTGGGTTACACAGCACAGCACACCACAGCACAAACCTGATATGGTGACACACATCTATAATCCTACCACCCAGGAAGTGAAAGCAGGAGGATCAGAGGTGCATGGTCATCCTTAGCTAGCCTGGGCTACATGAATGAATAACTACTAAATAAAGCCAAGGATAGTGATTGTATACACTTGTATTGTGCTTGTAAGGCAGAGCTGGAAAGATAAACAGGCTTTTCCAGACTAGCCTGGGTTACATAGGAAACCTGTCCAAAGCAAGCAAAAATAAAACAAACAAACTATCTAAAGCCCAAATTTATGTTATGAATAAATCCTAGGCAAAGCTAAAATAATGTCAGTTGCTGATGGACGCTGTCCCTGGTTGATAGAAGCTGGAGTAAGTTTTATTTATTTATATTTTGTATATTGTTTGGTATTTTGCAGTGAAGATACTTTTTTCTTTCTCACAGACGTATATGTGTAAAATATAGAAAAAAACAGAAATAGTTGGACATGGTGACACATGCCTGTGATTCCAGCACTCAGGAGACAGACTGTCACAAATCTGAGGCCATTCTGGTGTACATAGTGAGTTCTAGACCAGACAGGACTACATAGTGAGACCCTGTCCCAAAAGTAAAAAAAGGGGTGGGAATAAAGTCGCTTAAAATCTTATTTATTAAGATAAACATACATTTGAATGTGTTTCCCATACACATAATACATATTTTTAAAATTAAGACAAATTACACAAGAGGATGTGTACAGTTTTTATGATAACACCACACTGTTGTGTGTATGAGACTGGCATGGCCGTGGATTTTGGTATGTGTGGCAAGTCTTAGAACCTTCTCCCCATGGATACCGAGGGACACCTTTACCACCAGCCAGCTCTTCCTCTGTATCAGATGAAATGACATGAACACTGACTTGGAAGCACAGCTAACTTGAGTTCCTGGAATTTTTTAATGAATACACAATTGACCAGGAAGTCCCCAAGCATACCGAGGGAACTCATCTAGGGCCATCTTGGTAGTCCTGGGAGAAAGCTCTGTAGCCAGAAACTCCTGGCTCTGAATTCTTAGTCTATTGACTAGTCTAAGGTGTGTACAACTCAACCTGCTTTACTTCCCTCAGGCTTCTGCTCCAGGCTAGGCAGCCTGAGGCAATGGATGATACAGGCTGTAACCTTCAGGAGCTTAGGTAGTTGGACAGACAGACATCACCCCGCCATCATGGTGACTGACTCAAGGCAGGGAAGACGAAGTCAGTGAAGGTTTAAGCAACATGAATAGTATTTGTTTGTTTGTTTTTTAAATTTATTTATTTTTTGTATATGAGTACACTGTCACTGTCTTCAGACACACCAGAAGAGAGCATCTGATCCCATTTCAGATGGTTGTGAGCCACCATGTAGTTGCTGGGAATTAAACTCAGGACGTCTGGGAGAGCAGTCGGTGCTCTTAACCGCCGAGCCATCTCTCCAGCCCCATGAATAAGGTTTCTACAGGACATGTGACATCAACTTAGCTTCACAATCAAGGAGACAAGTTAGAAAGACATTCCAGGCAAGTAAAATTCATGGCAGACACCCAGGGTCATATGACATCATGAGGACAGAGATGACACGGCATTGTGCTTGGTGGACTCCCTAAGATGGTGTGTCAGGGAACTTGATTGCCTCCTCAGGAAAGCCTCTCTAGGCAGCAGCAGAGGTAGGGCTCAGTCACAAAACACAGAGAGGACAGAAAGTTAGAGGTCACTGTCCTAACCCGCAGCCAGGCAGAGCTCCTTCCTTCATAGAGTGGGAACACTGAGGATGTCCACCAGAGCCATTGTGGTTGTGGCTCCTTCTGACTGAAGCCCTACAGCTTGTGTTTGTTCCTCACAGACAGCAGCGATGAGGACCAGCACTCCAGAGGTCCCAGGAAACACAGAAGGAAGCCCCACAGGGACAGCTCTCCTGGTAGGCAGCAGGCTTCCCATCTTTTCTTTGTTTCCTACCTCACTGCTGAGCTTCTCAGTGGGGCCCTGTGAAGAGATGCCTCACAGAGTTGTTCTACAGGACGAAAGGGAAGCAGCTTACTTCGCACCCTACAAAAGCCACAGCCACCAGACAGAAGCAGACACTGGGCTCTGTCTTGGTGATAGTCATGGTTGTTGGGTTTTTGTTTGTTTTGAGGCAGGGTTTCACTGTGTGGCCTTGGCTCTCCTAGAACTCTCTATGTAGGCCAGGAAAGCATGTGCCATCACAGCATGCTTTGTTTTTGATGAGCGCCTCTCTAGCTCTGACGTGATAGGTGCCAAGTCACAGGACTCAACTGGCCTCATATATATTTGTAAAACAGTCATACAGAGGGCTAGAGAGATGGATGGGTTAGTGGTTAAGAACACTGACTGCTCTTCCAAAGGTCCTGAGTTCAATTCCCAGCAACCACATGGTGGCTCACAACCATCTGTAATGGGATCTCATGCCCTCTTCTGGTGTGTCTGAAGGAACAACTTGTGAGTGGGGGCTGAGAATCGAATCTGGATCCTCTGCAAGAGTAGCTAGTGCTCTTAAGGTTTGAGCTGTCTGTCCAGTCTTGGGAAATCATTTTTGCCTAAATAGATAAATAAATTTTGTGAGAATGTCGTGGAGAGAATGGGAATTAACGAATGAATGTCTAGTGCAGAGCCTGGTATACGCAAAGTGCTTAACCAATGCTGCCTGTGACGCTGGAGTTGAGCCTGGGTTCTATGTTTAGAGATACAGCTAGGTGGGGGATCTGGGATATAGCTCAATGTGTGAAGTCTGTGCTTGGAATGCAGATGCTCTGTGTTCAAGGTCTAGTACCAAAGATGATGATGGTGGTGGTGGCAGCGGTGGTGGTAGTGATGATGATGATAAATAAATGAATAAAATAAAACAACAACTACACATAAAAAAGCAAGAATGCAGGTTTTATGAGAGACCTGCAGTGTCACTCCTTACTATATAAGTTTGGTAGAATCATTTAAATATTTTTTTCCATCACCCCACAACCCTGTGCTGGGATCAGACTTTCTCCCACAGGCCGGGTAAACTTTCTCCCACTAAGCTGTTCTCTGAGCTCTAACTGAACTTCTGAGCTTCAGCTGCCTTGCCTGCATGCTTGGCCGGCATGCATTGGTGCCTTGCCTGCCCCACAGGTCGGCATGCATTGGTGCCTTCTGCATGCTCCTTCTATAAGAGCCAAATGGAAACATACGATATAAATCACCCAGCACAGTGCTGATGCACCTTGATAAATGGAAACTATTCTTTTTATGTGAAAATGTAAAGGTTTATTTATGTGTATGGGTATTTTGCCTACCAGTACATGTATGTGCCATATACATGCCTGTGCCCACAGAGGGCAGAAGATGGTGTGAGGTCACCTGAAACTGGCAGTTGTTTGCTGCCATGTGGGTGCTGGAAACTGAGCCTGGGTCCTCTGCGAGAGTAGCCAGTGCTCTTAGCCTCTCTCCATCTCTGCAGCTCCCTCCCATAACCACTCTTGACTGAGACCCACATTCTGTCAGATCTGCAGTTTCTTCTCAGTAAGAGAACATAGCAACTTCTGGGGGCACTGGGGGCAAGTGTGTGTCACACTGTTTTGCCTTTTGGAGACGTCAGATGTAGGGAGATGGAGGTGGTCCTGAGACACTGGAGGGACTTAACCAAGGTTTGTCTCTGCCCAGGTGCCAACCATGGGGAACTGGAGGTGCTGAAGGACGAGCTTCAGCTCTATGAAGGTAACTGCTTGTCTCCTGACCTTGGAGAAGAGAACCGTGAAGGACGAGAGCCCAGTGGGCACACAGAGGGTAGAGTCTCATGATCTGAAGGCTCCCAGGCAGATACAGATGAGGTAGTGAGGCTGCAGCCATTCAGGTAGAACTTGCTCCCCTCCACCATGACTGCAATGGGTCGAGGGCTGTCAGCCCTCCCCGCTGACTGAAACCCTGACTCTCAGCATGGTCTTCACTGGTCACCCAACACAACTGGCCCTCAGTTTTGCTAGCAGAAAGATGAGTTGTGATCCATTCCATTATCTTGAAACCTTACACTGTTCAAGAATGGCTCAGATCACCCATCCACATTTAGGAACTGTTTCCAAGAGACCTGTATGATGGTGAAGAAGCGTAGAGAACACAGAGATGGACTGTACATGGCAGTACTTCGGTCAGTAGCACTTCAACAAAGAAGGAGAGTCCACAGATTGGCCTAGTTCATCAAAGGGCTCGGCAGATGCACACTATCCAGTGAGAGTCAGGACCCCCAGGGTCCACCCACTCCCCCAACTCTGGGTAATGACCCAAGAGCAAGAGCATAGTCACACTCAGAGCAAGAAGACCATATAGCACACATGTCGTGTCTGCCTCTGGGCGCTGGCATTGTGGGTGATCTTTATATTGTTTCATTTGCGCATCTGAATTTATTTATTAATTTATTTTAGCACTAGAGATTGAACTCCAGGCTGGTTTCTTTGTTGTTATTTCATTTTGTTTTGTTTTTAATATTGTTGGTTTTAATTGTCTTAAAGATTTGTTTATCTTATGTGTATGAGTGTTTTGCCTACATGTATGCCTGTATATCATGTGTGCACCGGTAGAGGCTAGAAGGGGGGTCGGCTTTCCTAGTCTTAGAGTTACAAACAGATATGAGCTGGCATGAGGATGGGGACCGAACCCAGGTCCTCTGAAAGAGGAACAAGAGGAGCTGTTTCTCCTGCCTCCTAATTTTATATGCATGTGTCTGCAAGTGGGTTTATGCATAAGTGCAGTGCCAGAAGAGGCCAGAAGAGGGCATCAGATTTTTCCCCCCAGAGCCGGAGCTACAGGAGCTTGAGAGCATCTAGTACTGCTCAGCCATCTCTCCAGCTCGTTTTATTTTGTTTTAAATAAAAAGTACTGGCTTCCCATGGCTTGTGGTGGGGATTGACTTTCCAGTAAATGGAGCAGGAACCGTCCAGTCTGCTCCAGTCCCCGCCCAGCCTACCTTCCTCTCTAACACCCCTTCTCAGGAGGGTACCAATCATGTGTGTGCTCACTGATTCTCCTTCTGTGCAGGCGCTGCTGGGGAAATGGTGCTTGCTGGGGAGTCAGGTGAGTGAGTACCCAGGAAAGGGAGGGAGTCAAGGATTCTGGAGTTCAGTGGGGTCCTAGGCATTGTCCTGGTGGAACACTCTCAGTGGGCATTGACCTGGTGGAGCACTCTCAGTGGGTGTTGTCCTGGTAGAGCACTGTCAGTGGGTGCTGTCCTGGTGGAGCACTCTCAGGGACACAGCCATGAGACGTGGCAACTCCAGGCCCACTTAGGGACCTGACTGCAGGAACAGACAGGAGAGTGGTTGTGGGACATGGAAATGGAGGTCCAGGCAAGAGGAAGCAGATATCAACCAGCTAGGAAAGGCCCCTTGAATTCCCATGATTGGAACATTACCTAGAGAAGTGGTTCTCAACCTGTGGGTCTCAGCGTCTTTGGAGTCACATATCAGATATCCTGTATATCAGATATTTACATGATGGTTTTTAGCAATAGCAAAATTACAGTTATGAAGTAGCAATGAAATGAATTTTATGGCTGGGGTTGTCACCACAACACGAGGAGCAATATTAAAGGGTCCCAGCATCAGGAAGGTTAAGAGCTACTGTCTTATAGCCTCTTCTTAGGCACCTCTGGTCTCTCCTCACGGTGAAAGCACCTGGCAAGGAGCCTTGGCTGACCTGGCACTAACACTGAGTTTCTCATTTCCAGGACTCCGAAGGAGAGGTTCCGGCTCAGCGGGGGGTAAATATATAAGCTCCAAGGACAGCAGGAAGCTGTCTGAACTCCAGGGGCCAGAGGGGACCACCAATGATCTGAGACCAGTTCTGGCAGGGATGTCAACACATGCATGATTCCTAAAGAAGTCTCCATCATAGGAGAGATGGAAGGAAGAACAGGGCTAGGCCTAATGGAGGGATGCGGAAATCAGGGAGGGTCCCGGGGAACCTGTTGCTCCTGCTGTGAGCACCCTCTGACCCACAGACAAACACCCAGTGACCAAGTCTCTAAGTGGGGAATGTCAATCTCCAAAACACATCTTTCTGTCTTTCATTCTTTAGGAGAAGTGGAGGCCTCTCAGTTAAGAAGACTGAACATAAAGAAAGACGGTAAGTGTTCAAGAGCTGTCCTCACCTGGCTGGTCACAAGTTCTATAGGTGCAAGATGACTGACAGCCGGGATGATAGTAACCCTGGCCACCTCTGGCAGGTGTCCCACGGTCAGCAGAGTCCTCAGCTCTAATCACCTTGGTGGGGGGACAAGCATTGATGTCTATCTTTCCATGTAGGAACCGAAGCCCAGGGTTGGGGACCTTAGAGCCACTGAAGGGCATGTCCTGGGTTTGGCATGGGCTGGGTTTGGTGCCCGACTGGGTTTGGTGCCGGACTTACGCTCCTTTTGACGTATGTAAAAGCAGAGGGAGATGAATGCTTCTCAAGCTCTGTGGCGGGACATAGTTAGGACATGTGATTTATGAAGTTCCCCTGGAGCAGTGATGAGAGCTTCTAGGGCTTCCCCTGCTCCAAGCCTGGACTCCATGAGGACTTCCGGGAAGACTGAGAGGGTAGGAAAGAGAGACTTTGGGGTTTGCTCATTTATTTATTTAGTTTTTCAAGACACCACTTCTCTGTGTAGCCCTGGCTCTCATGGAACTAGCTCTGTAGACCAGGCTGCCCTCAAACTTAGGGTCCTTTTTCCTCAGCAACCCCAGTACTGGGATTGCAGGAGTGCACTCCAGACTTCCCTTAAACTCTCTTTTGTCTTCCCCTTGACTGAGAAAGAAGGGAGATCTTGCTGTTTCCTGGTGACATCCCTTGTAAGAAGCACCTGGAGATGCAGCCTCTCAAGCCTGTTAGCCTCAGAACTTCCCACTTGGCACCTTTGCATGTTTTAATGCTCATGCAACAAATTAATTCCTGAGCACCCCACAGGGTTGCTCTGGCTGCTCAGTCTCCTCGAGGGGGAGCTGACTGGGATTCTCCTTCTCTAAGACATAGAGCCGGGTAGGAGGAAACTGATAAATTCAGAAATAAAACCCAAGCGGAGTGGCTGCACACTTTCCAAAAATAAAGAGGAGAGATAAGGCTGGGAAGGGGGCTCCTGGATGCTATTTAACACTGGCTCGTCAGAAGCAGGAGCACTGTCACTTATAAAACAAGAAGGGGCTGGACCAATGCTTTAGCCGTTAAGTGTGCTTCCCCTTCGTCAGAGGACTGGAGTTTGGATCACAGCACCTATATCTGGTCCCCCACAAATGCCTGTAACTCCAGCTCCAAGGGATCTAATGTCCCCTTCAGGCTTCTGTGGGCACTTACTTGGTGCACATGTGCCAACACACACACACCAGAAAATAAAAAATAGAGTAGTTGGGCTTGGTGGTGCATACCTTTGATCCCAACACTATGCTGGTAGAAGCAGTTAGATCACCAGCCAAGGGTTCTATAGTAAAAACCCTGTCTCATATAAACAAACAAACAACTGGGTATGAAGGCAGAGGCAGGTGGATATCTGTGAAATCAAAGCCAGCTTGATCTATACAGAGAGTTTCAAGTCACCCAGGGCTACATAGTAACACACACACACACACACACACACACACACACACACACACAAAACCAGGTATGCCAGGCATAGTATTGTGGCACACACCTGTAGCTCTAGTCCTCTGAAGGTTGAGAAGAATCCTAATTTGAAGGTCACCCTGGGCTGCATAGAGACCCTGGCTGGAAAAACATAGCAAAAAAAAAACAAAAACGAGAGGGTTGTGGTGATGGCCTGAGTTGAGAGAAAGAGAGAGGGGGGAGGGAGAGAGAGGGGGGAGGGAGAGAGGGAGAGAAAGAGCAAGAAAGAGAGAGAGAGAGAGCCACCCACCATTCTTTCTTACAGATGAGTTTTTCCATTTCGTCCTTCTCTGCTTTGCCATTGGAGCCTTGCTGGTGTGTTACCACTACTATTCAGGTGAGGCCTGCTGGGGACCTGGGGAGGGGCTGTGAGGGAGGACAGGAGTCCATCTACAACCCTACAATGGCTGATTGTTGTCTCCTGGCTGCTGTTGCAGACTGGTTCATGTCCCTTGGGGTTGGCCTGCTCACCTTTGCCTCTCTGGAGACTATTGGCATCTACTTCGGGCTGGGTAAGTAGTCCTGTCAAAAAGCTACACAGCCTCACAGGCTCCTGGAGGGGTGGCAGCTGGACTGGCCCTCACACTCTAGATTGGCTAAGAGTTACAATCTAAACTACTTTTTTTTTTTAAAGTAAATTCCTTATGTTTGTATTTTCCTGACCGCATATGAAGTCAATGAGAGGTCATTGGCAAAACCTTGTGGAAAAAAGGAGTTAGTTCCACAAAAACAGTTTAAAGCGGCAAACACGCATAGCTCCTTGGATACTGAAAACAAGCGAGTACAGCCAGGCATCAAGGTCGCAGGGTTTCCTGCCCCTGTTATTTACTGCCTGTGACTCGTTTTCCGTGTAATAACCACAGCACTGGTATTGACATTAGCCTAAAATTGCATGTTAGGGCTCTGTTTGTGTGGGGTGTGCTTTGGTTCTGGGGCAGCGGGAAGTGAGCCTGACCCTGGGGCCCTTGAGGGGCCACCTTCCTTACCAACATTTCCGCTTGTTTCTGTGCAGTGTACCGGATCCACAGCGTACTTCAGGGCTTCATCCCCCTCCTTCAGAAGTTCAGGCTGCCAGGTAATGGTGCGGCTCATTTCCCCACCCAAAACCCTCTCCCGATTGGTGTTTTCTTCTTGGAAAAAGATCGGGCATCTATGGAAACTCCTGGAGTCAGGAGGCTCGGGTTCAAGTTCTGCCTCTGTTCCGTGAGACACCCAGATAACCTTTTTCTGTTCTGAGAATGGAACCCGAGACTTACGGTGTGCTAGGGAAGCCACAGTCCAGCCGTCTGTAGCCTCTTTGAGCCTCAGGTTTCTCAGCTGGAAAACTTGTGTATTTCTTACTGCATAGACGGTCCATCAAGTGAGAAAGCATGCAGTGGGGTGTCAGCACTGAAGAAAAGCAAGGAACTCTGTACTCCCCAAATGCTACCTCCTCTCTGCCTGTATTATGTAACTTTGTAGTTGCCTTTGACATAGCCTGGAGCTAAAGTAGAGTCTATGAATGTGTGTGTGTGTGTGTGTGTGTGTGTGTGTGTGTGTGTGTGTGTGTGTTTCTAGTATGGAACTCAAGGCTTCACACAGGCTAAGAAATTAAGAAGTTGCTCTACTGCAGAGCCATACCCTGACACATTGTCTTGGACCAGCAACCCAGTGGCTTTGTACTTGATGGCATTGTGCCTCCGAACCTAGAAACCGGGGTTGGTGTGCTTTTGTGCCAGAGATGGGAGTAGTCATGTCTCCACAACTGTGAACTATGGGGACCCACAGTGCCTTAAGGGAGAGTCATCTGAGGCCATCCCTGTGCTATTTGGGCATTTGAGGTGATGGCTGGAGCAAGACTTGGCTGCCTGCAGAATCCTATGTCATTCTTCTGGGTTTGCCTTCCAGGGTTCAGGAGAACCAACTGAAATCACTGCCTGGCGGCAGCTGAGCCAATCCCCAATGTGACCACTGTAACCACTGCCATGCCTGAGCCCAGAAGACAGAACGATATTCTGGAAGTCACCAGGAGGCCACACAATAAAGAGCTCTTTCCTTCCATGTGATCTGAGTGTTGGCACCAGTGGGCAGGCTCTTGCTCTGCAGATTAGCACGAAGCCTCTATGGGAAGAGAGGAGGGACAGTATCTGGGTCAGCAAGAAGGAGCTGGGATGCCATTGCTCTCAGGGGCAGCATGAGTCCTAGGCCCTGCAGGCTGGCGTCTGCAGGCTTGGGTCTCTCTGGTATCCTCAGGCCATGTCCATGAGCTCACAGTTCTGACAGAGCCATCTTGAGACAGCCATCCTGAGGCAGGGAGCTACCAGACTGGGTCCCTAGGGAAACCTGTTGCAGGTAAGACACTGGGGACCAAAGCTGTGGACCCATCACCCGGTGACCAATCCTGTTGCCCTTGAACTCCTAAAACTCAAATAAATATTCTGTTCCCTGTGCTAAAAAGAGTTGACTAAATATTCCTTTAGGTTTCTTTCTTTCTCCCCCCTTCTTTCTCTCTCTCTCTCTCTCTCTCTCTCTCTCTCTCTCTCTTTCTTTCTTTCTTTCCCTTTTTTTTAAGGATTTTTTTTGTTTTAAATACAGGCTCTTATATAACCCGTGTTGGCCTCAAAGTCTCTATGTAGCCAAGGCTAATATTTAATTCCTCATCCTCCTGCCTCTACCTCCTGAATGCTGGAATTATAGGTGTGTGCTACTGTACTTGGTGCTTTGAACCCTGTGCCTTGTGTCTGGTAGGTGAACAAGTTACTTGCAGAGCTGTCCTTAGCATTTGTTTGGGTCTCTTGAGCATGAGAACATATCTGGGGACTCCTCTGAATCCATCTAGATGGAGTTAGCACTTATCCAATTGCATGGAGTATAAACAAGAATGTATGGATAGCGGCTCGCAGAAAATTCAGATTTCTTTTGCACAGGTGAGGATGGAAAGAAGAGGGTAGCAAACATTCTTGTGAAAAAAAAAGTGTGTGTGTGTCTGTGTGTCTGTGTGTGTGTGTGTCTGTCTGTGTGTCTGTCTGTGTGTGTCTGTCTGTCTGTCTGTGTACACTAGAGGCCTGGCTTAGTTAGAGCACTGCCCCGAGTTCACAAAGCTCTGGACTTATCCCAAGAACCGCACAAGCTGAGCATGGTGTTGCATGCTGGTAATGCTAGCACTCAGGAGGGTGAGGTGGGAAAGTCATCAGCTTGAGGCTAACCTGGGATATACAGCAAGATCCTATTTCAAAATCCCCAAATTAATAAAATGATAAAGTAAAACAAACAAACAAAAACAAACTTTAGAGTCTGAAGAGATAGCCTAGTCAGTAAAGTGCTTGCCAGGTAACCATGAGGATCCAGATTTGATTCCAGCACCCACATAAAAAGCAAGGTGTGGTATGAAGTACCAGCTCTTGGAGGTGGGGCAAAAAACAAGTGCTTACTGTCCAGCTAGGTAACCAGCCAGCCCAGAGTCTTAGTAAGAGACTCTGTCTCTAAAATAAAGTGATTGACTTCAGACTGCCATGCATAACTGTACACACACACATGAACATACTCACAAGTCCATACAAAACCCAGAAACTTTTAAAATTTAAGAAGGAAAAAAATTTGAAGGACCAGGTATGACAGAAACTTTTAATTCCAGCACTTAGGAGGCAGAGACAGGCATAGTTCTGTGAGTTCTGGGCCAGCAGGGCTATAGAGCGAGACCTTATCTCAACAAAGTGAAACAAAACGTTTTAAGGGGCTAAAAGTACAGGTCAGTGGTTGAATGTTTGCCTGATATACAAGAGATCCTGGCTTTGAATGTCCAGCACTCAAAACAAAGAGGTTAAAAAAGTAACATCTATATTTTACCTTGTATTTTTTTCAATCTCAAATTATTAGCAGCCACAAAAGTGGGACATGGCTTACAGGTTGAAGCCCCCTGGGCATGGGGCTGTCACAGTGTAAAGCCAGTCCCAGGAGTGGAAGGAGGCACAGAATGAGAGAGCCAGGATAGGATCAAGGAGACAGTGATTTCTGTCCTTGGCAGCCTGGACACCTCTGCGGGAGACAAGTTCAACCCTTTTTGCCCCCCAGGTCTCACAGCTCCTCCAAGGATCTGTGTGTTGTACTCCTTCCCAGCCTAGCCCAGCATTGACCTTGATGGTTCTCAGCTCCTGTGTACCACCGGAGCTTGGGCTCTGGTTACATCTCAGGCTGTGGATTCCAAGAGCTCCAGTCCAAAGTGGGGTCTAAAAATAAAGCATGGAATCCTGAGCCGGGTAGACAGGACTGAAAATGAAGGGGCTTTGGTCCTTGGCCGTCCTGGACCCTGATCATCAAACTTCTGCTGTTATCTGCACACGGGCCAAAGGGTTACTGGGTGTGCTCTGAGACCATGCAAGTCAGCTGGCACTGGGAAAAGGTCAAGCCAGGAGAACAGTGGCAGCTGTTTGTCCCAGTTTCCGGAAAGGGACCTAGTTCTGATGTTGCTGTTCTCCAAGGCTGGATATTGAATGCTTGGTCCCCTTGGTGGTACTACTGGGAAGTGGTGAAATCTTGAGACAATGGAGCCTATAGAGGCTACCAGTGGGTAGAGGATGGCATACCAAGATGAGTTTATTAAGATCTCTCTAGCCAGCCTCTTCAGGCTGTGTGAACAAGGCCCTGGACCTGTAGACAGATCTCCAAGGTCAGGATCAGAATTGACCAAGAGCCAGCAGGTTGCTTAGTCTCCTCCAGGCCCAGACCCAGGGCTTTGAATTGGCCCCTCCCCGCAACATCTACCTCATTAATGAACTGCTGGGGTGCACGAAGGAGCTGATCTTACAGATCCAAAATCTTACAGAATCTCCATGACACAGGACAACAACAGCATATCCAAGAGGAGTTCCAATGAGATTCTAGTATTGCTGGAGTAGCAGAAGCCGGAGGCCTCATACCAGACCAATGAATCATTGCAATGAACATTTGCAATCAGTGCGGACAGAAGGGTTTACCGTGGGACACACTGTGACACACTTCAACTTCCACAGCCAAGAGACTCTTCTTTTTCTCTGTTGGTGGGGATGGTTGCAAGAGTGGAAAGCAGGTTATGAGGGGAGGGGGGGATGAGTGGGATTGGGGTGCATGATGTGAACCCACAAAGAACTAATAAAAAGTTAGAGAAAGGAAGAGAGAGAGAGAGAGAGAGAGAGAGAGAGAGAGAGAGAGAGAGATTTTTTTTTTTTTTTTAAGACAGGGTTTCTCTGTGTAGTCCTTGCCATCCTGAAACTCTTTCTTAAACCAGGCTGGCCTCAAACTCAAGAGATTAGTCTGCCTGTCTCTTGAGTGCTGAGATTAAAGGTGCGCACCACCACCACCTGGCTAGTATTAAGTCAGCTTAACATAAGCTAGAGTTATCTGAAAGGAGGGAACCTCAGTCGATAAAATGCCTCCTTAATACCCACCTGTAGGACATTTTCTTAATTAGAGGTCCCAGTCCACTGTGGACTAGTCATCCTGGGTTCTATAAGGAGGCTGAGTAAGCTATAAGGAGCAAGCCAGTAAGCAGCATCCCTCCATGGCTTCTGCATCAGCTCCTGCCTCCAGGTTCCTGTCCTGTTTGAGTTCCTGTTCTGACTTCCTTCAATGATGAACAGTGATGTGGAAGTGTAAGCTGAATAAACCCTTCCTCCCCACCTTGCTTTTGGTCATGGTGTTCTGTCACGGGATTAGAAACCCTAAGATATCCAGCAAATAAAAATTTTAAAACTAAATAAAGTTGGCATGGTAGTGTGGGCCTGTGATTTCTGGGAAGGCAGGGGCAGGTAGATCTCTCTGAGTGCCAGGGATATATATAGAGACCCTGTCAGAAACAAACTGAAAAGATAGAAAACAAGAAAGGAGGATGCCCTGCCTCTAGCCCCCACATGCAGCACACACAGGCACTGCCACACAAGGACACATGTGTAAACCAAACCAACCAAACACCAAAAAAACAAAAACCCCACAAAGAAGAACGATAAAAGTTAACAAGCACCCTTTTTGAGACTAGGTCTCACTATGTGAGGCAGGCTGTCCTCTAACTCACAGAGACTCACCTCTGTCTGTCTCCTGAGTGTGGGATTATCACACTTGGCAAATTAATTTGTATGCACTTAAACAGTGTTCCTTGATTCATTTTTTGTTGTTTTTTGTTTGTTTGTTTTTGTTTTTGTGTGCCATTTTGCCTTTTCAGAGCTGGTGACTGAATCCAGGTCCTTGTACTTGCTAGGCAACTGCTCTGTCACTGGGCTAAACTTCCAACTCTTGACAGACATTTCAGTTCAGATGAAAGTCATGCAACTGATAAATGTGTGAAGGCATGCTGTGGTGGTTTGAATAGGTTTGGCCCCTATAGACTCAATGTGTTTGAATGCTTGGTCATAGTGAGTATCACTATCAGGAGGTGTGGCCTTGTAGAAAGTATGTCACTGTAGGGGCGGGGGTTTTGAGGTTATATATGCTCAAGCTCTGCCCAGTGTGGAAGACAAGTCTTTTTACTGTCTTCAGGTCAAGATGTAGAACTCTCAGCTCCTCTAGCACATCTGCCTGTACACTGCCACGCTTCCTACTATGATAATAATAGATTAAACCTCTGAAACTGTAAGCTGGCCCCAATTGCCTTGGTCATGGTGTCTCTTCACAACAATAAAACTCTAAGACACCTTCTTCTTCTTCTTCTTCTTCTTCTTCTTCTTCTTCTTCTTCTTCTTCTTCTTCTTTTTAATTAATTTATTTATTTTATGTGTATGAGTACACCATAGCTGTCTTCAGACACACCAGAAGAGGGCATCAGATCCCATTACAGATGGTTGTGAGCCACCGTGTGGTTGCTGGGAATTGAACTCAGGACCTCTGGAAGAGCAGTCAGTGCTCTTAACTGCTGAGCCATCTCTCCAGCCCAAGACACATACTTAATATACTACATTATATGGGATCATTAAAATGACCATGGGCTACACACCCTCAAGACAGGTGACAATTACTATCTGGTGATACAAAATGTTGCCTAATAGAGCAGTGGGAATGAGCAGTCTGTTCGACAGGAACATCCAGGCAATTGT